CTAGCAAAGGAGGCCACCCGTTCACGGATTAAGAAGCAACGAGGATAGGAGAGAGGATCACAATCAAGCCAGCAAGCAGCTCACCCTTTGAGTGCTGGAGTGAGATTCCTGCTACAACCTGTTCATAATGCAGCATCCTCCAACGCCAACAGGGGGCACCTTTGAGCAATTTATGGCCTTGTAGCATTCTGTGTAACTTTTCCTATATTACTACCCCAGCTCTGTCTGCCTGGAGTCCTGCACTTTGCTCTAGACAGACATCTGGGCACTGAACTTTCGTGTCTAAAGCTAGTAAATTAGCCTCTGTAAGCAGGTTGCTGCTTGCACAAGACAGCCACAGATGATTGGACGTTATTCCTCTGATCACAGGATCAAGATGCTCATTTGAGTAGCACAAGGGGCAACCTGCAGACGTGGAACTGGCATTTCAAATGGAAAGGATTCAGTGTAATAACTCTGCCAGAATCAATGTCCCCCTCCCCATTCTTCTCTCCAGTAGCAACAATAGCTGAGAGAAGGGGCCGTAGTGCAAGAAAAGCTCTTCGTGAAGAGCTCTCGGGCATTGAAAGATCTCAACAGCTAGACTGAGGGCACTTTTGCAACTGTGTCTTCTATCACCTCCAGATCTTCCTTTACAAGAGCTACTGGCCGTCCATGAGGACCATGTTAGAATCTGCCTCAATCTAAGGAATTGTGTGCATGGGCAATTTGTTGTCACAACACCTGCTGGATTCAAAATCCTGACTCAGGTAACTAATTCAACGGGGTTTGATAGTCTCACTGCAGTCTTCCATGGGCCTTTTTGTCCCTATCCCAACACCGCGGTTTGCCACAGTTCAGCTGGACTGAGAGCTGTGGGGTTAATGGAGAACAGACCCGCACAGTCTTGCTGCCATCATCAGCTTCTCATTTATGCACATTAAAGCCACAAAGCAAGAAAGGCCTACAATTGTGCCAAGGAGAAAGGGAGAAATCTTGGTTTTCCCACTTTTGATGGTTTTGCACCCAAATATTATTGGCAGGGGGTAAACAGAGAACCTTAAAAGCCTGGATATTTTACACTGGGGGGGAAAAAACCACATGGCTGTAGATCTTAAAAACTGAAGTGTTCTGACAATACTGGGGCCCAACTCTGCCCTCAGTTACAGGGTGTAGCTCCCACTGAAGTCAACAGGAACTGTAGCCATAACTGATGGCAGATGCAGCCTCTCAGAATGTACACAGTCCTTTTCACCTCAAGGTGAACCACCTTGTCAGGAAGGCTGGTTAGCATCAGTGTCAAGATTAGAACTCAGGTCTTTGGCTCCCAGGCCTCAAAAGCAGGCTCAGAAGTGGCCCAAACACTACACCGGACAGAGTGATGGTACTGAGATACTGGCTGCTACACGGAAGCAGATATTTCACTGCCACTGAGCTGCTTCCAGGAACAGCTGGCCATCGGGCCACGGCAAGGGAGTGAAGGAAGCCTGGATCACTTACAAAGCTCCATGGAAAGAGGCTTCACCTCTTGATAAAAGCTCCGCACTCCAATGCTGCAGTTTAAAGAGGGGGCTGCCCTGCTCCACTGCTTAACTCAAGTATGGCACTTGCTCAGGTCTGGCTCAAGTTAAGGGTGTGAGCGAGATGGAAGGGAGGGATGCTGAGGAATAACAGGAGCCAGACACTTTTGCACCTCATTTTCCTCTCTCTCATCTCTCCTTCCCCCAGTCAAAATATTCCCCCCCATCTCCTGGCTCCAAAGGGCACAACCCTACAGAGACAACTCGCAGGGCAAGCAGAGTAACGGGCTGCAAAACATGCTATCGTGTGTCCCCTACGACTCCTTCAATTGTGGTGGTTCAAAGTAAACACAATTAAAACCCCACTGAAAACAAGCAGCAAAAATAAATCACCGGCTGCAGTCCCTCAGCCTCAGGGGACAACCATTGAGCTTTCCACAGATATTAATTCAAAGGGCTTTTAACGGTGTAGGTTTAGAAGTGCTAAGCTAAAACAAATCCAAACTGCACCCTCTCTTGGGCCACCGAAGCTCTGACAGAGGCTTAGTCCAAGGTCATGAGATCATTCCAATGAATATTCATGCCAACCACTTAATGGCTTTTATCCTCTGAGAACCCGTGATCTCACTCCCCTCTGAGTGCACAAACCCAGCAGGGATATGCGTGACAAAGGAATCCATGCCTGTCCCCTTAGCACATCTGGGACTATTTTTAATCCACCATCTGTGGGCTCGCTGCAGTCACACACGGATGGCTACCAAAACCCATCTCCTTTAACCCTTTGTTCTTTCCCAGCCTCTTGATGTATCCGCTCGGGGAGTCCATTTCTAGTAGTAGATACTACTGTTAGTACAAACTCTGGATGCAGGAAAATTGAAGTTGTGGTTTATTTGTAGTACTTACTGGCCATGAGTTGTTTGGAAAGGGGGTGGCACTGATGGGTTCCCCCTGCATCCATCCCCCTTGGCATCAGAGAAAGGCTCTGGCGTCAGCCATGCATACGGACCATCTACACAGCAATTCTCACTGATTCAGTAACTCCGTTTGATCCTATCAACACAGGCCCCACACAAACCCAACCTGGTGAGAATTTCTTGGTGCCCAGGTTCTTCGTCTGTTGCTCACCACTGTGGTATCTAAGATAATACAAGAGGACAGCACTGGAACAGTCTTATTAGCAGCATAGCCCCTGCACCCCCAGCATGGAAGGCTATTTGGCGGCTTCCAGTCTTTCGGAGAAGACCTGCATACAGAAGCATGACTTGCTTCATCCTCTGGCGTGATCCAAGCTCAGCAAAATCTGTGGCAGAGCGCTCCTTAGGCAAAGGCCCTCCACCAAGAGCTCCCCAGTCCACAACTGGCTCTAGGTCCCGTCAGCCTCTGAATCTGTGTTGCCTTGCACTGAGAGGTAGCCCAGAGGTAACTGGCATACCGAAAGCTTTGATGAGGGCCAGGATGTTGAAGATGCTGGATTGGACGGGGAGCAGCAATACAACAAGCTTTTGATTGGTCTGGCCTAGCCTAGGAGACCGGCAGTAGCCAGTTGTCCCTTGCAGCCTTCTAAGTCAGTGTCTGGCGACGTGCGTTGCAGTGACTCGAGAAAGGTGATACAGCAGATTACAATGGTTAGGTCGGCATTAAGGGGAAGGAGCGCAGTCTTCCCACTAGCCAGAGATGGAATGAGGCATCTCTGGCTGCAGTGAACTGAATATCCAGGGACAGCAATAAGCCCAGACTCCAAATCTTTACCTACTCACGATGCTCCCTACAGAGGATGCAATCATCTCAACCAATTCCTTGGTACACAGGTTTCAGAGTAACAGCCGTGTTAGTCTGTATTTGCAAAAAGAACAGGAGGACTTGTGGCACCTTAGAGACTAACCAATTTATCTGAGCATGAGCTTTCGTGAGCTACAGCTCACTTCATCGGATGCACAGTATGCATCCAATGAAGTGAGCTGTAGCTCACGAAAGCTCATGCTCAAATAAATTGGTTAGTCTCTAAGGTGCCACAAGTCCTCCTGTTCTTTTTGGTATACAGGTCGGCTGCATTGCTTCCAGGCAAGACCAACGCTAAACACCGGCTGCTACAGCCACTCTATCAGCCTTCAAAGTTCTCCGAGGTTAGGGCTTTCCTTTGGGCTATTCAGCTTCCGTGGAGTAGACTTATTTGAGCCTCTCGCCCTGCTCAGAAGATTGTTCTGTTTCATTTTGCCAGTTCTCCATTCATATACTGTGATTCGGGCATGTGCGCTCTCAGCAGTTGGGACAAAGAACAGAGAGCAGGAACAGATTAAGTTACCCTTTCACGGTCGGAGTGACCCATCCACTCTAGAGTAAGGGGTGAGTTCCCCCAGCAGAGGAAGCATTGGGGTCAGATTGGGGAAGCCCATATTGCTACTGGCTACGCTGCACCTGTTCTATAGATAACCATGATTTCAGCCTCCTGGCCTACGACATTAGAACTTCTTTCCAAGAACTACCCTCTTGGCAGGGGAAGATGGGCAATTTCAGATTTTCTGTGTCCATCCGGCACAGCAGCTCTGGGATGTGCAGTTGGCAGGAGGCCCAATGCTCATGCCAGAGTTTGATTATAAACCATCTATGTATTGTCTCCAGTTATTTACCTTCCGCTTTCCTGAATGCGGCACTTAAATGCGGGCTTTTAAGAGAGCTCCTGTGGCGGGAACAAGGGAGATGGAGATTCTCTGTGACAACTGAAGAGATTTGCTTTCAAAACAGAGTCCACAGAATGCAAAAGACAAAGGCCTGGTAAAGTAGGTCAGTTATATATGAAAGCGTGGTTGGCCGATTTAACATGCTCCCCCTCCCTGTCTTGCCTCCTCCCATCCAGCTACTGTATTAGCCAGCAACTTCTGAGTCACTGGAGGAAGTTGCCTGTTTGTGAGCTGCTCACAAGCCGTAAAGCAAGGAAGAGCAGCCAGAAACCGTCTGCAGAGTGTGTAACTGTCCAATACAAACATACATGAGCCCTATGCAAGCGGACAGGGAAGGCACCACACTGCGTACTCAGTGCACCGGGAGGTTTGCCCCATGCTTTGCATTCTGAAAGGGATTTCCTCGCCCAACAGCCGGCACTTTGGGAAGGAGTCCCTGATACGTGACCTAACACAGGCAAGCGTTGTGCATGGTTCCTATGTGCTGCTCCAACACACAGACCACCTGCAGCACCTACTCTGGGTGCATGCAGAGCCAAGCATGACCGCCTCCGAGTACAGCCAGGGAAGGGATAAATGCTGGGCAAGTCCTAACCAGCAATACGTCCGATCCCAGGACCCGGGCTCTCCTCGGCAGGGTCTAACGATTGTGCCAAAGGGCGTCAGACTGCATGGAGGTTTCGTAATGCAAATGAGTGACCGCTAAGCACCGGGGGAGATTCCGGGATACGCTGCCAACACTTTCACAAGGGTTCCCACACCGCTGGGCCCCCATCCCCGCCCGAGAAGGCGAGCAAACCGAACGGGTTTGGCTCCTACTCACATGTCACGCAGACGAGGCACGTCCTGAGGAGCAGGTTGACCCACAGCGCCCAGCGCTCTGGCACCTGGGAAACAGCCCCGGGCACAATGATTTCAGCCGGGACATAGAACTGCAGCGCGTAGGTGAAGAAGATCCCAATGGAGTAGAGCAGCTTGACAGATTGGTACAGCCTGCAAAGGGAACAGGGAGAAATCCAGTCATCTCCACTCACATCCCAGCTCCCTCAGAGGCAGAGTTAATCAAAACAAAATAAAAATAGCTATGTGACAAGAGCGAATTTAGAAGGGAAAGAGAGCTGTCTTAATCCCCATGTCTGTGAAGCCTGGCCCGGGATCCCTGGTTAAGGGGTAAGTGAGCATCCCCCTCTCAAGACAGGGCAGCACAAGCCCTAAGCCCACAGCTGAAAGGCACTTGCTCTGGCCAGGTGACTGTATCCACAAGGAGAGAGATCTCAGCGTGGGTGGGTGCCCTAGGAGTCGACCAGACCGGAGTTATCGACGACGAGTGCTTCGAGCGCTCTGACCCCGCCCCGACCATCGTGAAGGTATGAAGGGCCAGACTGACACAGGTGCTTAAAGACGCAGCTGGGTGCCTGGGGGAATTTACAGAACTGCCTAAGGGAAGTGCCTGCCATTGAAAACAATGGGAATTAGGCGCCTAAGCTACTTTGGATGTTTGGAAAATCCCACTAGATGCTTCGCTGCATCTCTGGGCACTAAATACCTCTGGCTTCCGTGGAAGCTCCTCAGACCATACATTCAGCCCCTGGCTTAAAGCAGGTTGCTGCTAGCCAGTTCCGGGGCTCTGCTGCTTGCATATGGGTCTTCTCCCACTGCTCAGAAAGTGGGACATTTCATTCCCTAGTCAGGGTGGGTCGCAGGGGCCAGGGATTTGAACTTGTGAGCACGTGCACACACAGCATGACACCGTCCACCAAGCTCCTGCCAACTGGAGTCCGAAGGCCTTTGCCCAGCTGCTGAACGGGCACTGTCCCAGCAGCACAAGCTCCCTGACCGCCTTCCCCAGCCAGAACTGCAGGGGCCACCTTTAAGGAATGCAGGGAGGCTAATCCCTATGAGGGCACTACCCACTGGGGTGCCTGACCACCCATCCACCCGGAAATGGACAGAGACCACAGGTCGCCTCACTGAGGAGCCAGCTGATCAGACTTCAGTAGCCACCAGCAACCCACGCTGGCTGTCAGCCAGTGAGCTAGAATTACAGAAGTTGTCTCTTATTACCTGCTCCCTGAGCTCTCTCTCTCATCCCTACCTTTGCTAGCAAAATTTGGGTTCTTCGCAGGAGGAAGAAAAAGCTACATTTCGCCTTGCTCTGCAGTGAGCCCGATTCTACTCTGTGCCTTAAAATAAAAAGATCAAGGCTACCTTCAAAGTGGTTTATCAGCTTTCAACATGAATATTTCACAGTTTTCGATTTCTGCCCCCCTCCCCCCCCCAGCCAAGGGGAACTACCAGGATTAGCACAGGCTTCGGAAGTTAAAAGCAATGCAGACGTCACCACCGCCTGCACTTTAACCTGCTCGATAAAAAAACAAACAAACACCAGACTATTTTTGGAGCTCGACACAGAGGGTTTGGGGGAAGGGACTGTTAAAATAGCAATGCTGGGCAGGTTGTGTGTCCTGGTAGAGCCCCTTGCTAAGTCCCCAAGTCAGCAGGGGGCTCGCTAGGTATTCATTCTACAGTGACAGACACCAGCAATCCAAAGGGAAGGAGTTTGTCTTCTCTGTGTGAGAATGACCCCGATCTGGGACCAAGGATGGCTAGAGGATACCAATTGCTGTGCAATGTCAAGGGATCCCTGGGCAAGAGAACCGGCCTTTTAGAAAAAGAGTGTTGTATAACCTGGGCCAACCAGCTGACTAGATCCCAGCATTGCATGGGCCAATCTAGATCAGGCTTCCAGTTGGTGTACATGTGTGCACGCCTGTCTGGAGAAATAAGAACAGAACAGGGGAGCAGAGCTAGACAGAACTTGTGTGGCACGGGGGAAGACAAGTGGAAGCTGGAGATGCAAAATCTCCAGCCAAGGAAGGAGGGGCTAGCCACCTTTTTACAATCCTTTAGTGTCTACAGGCTGGAAGTGCTGCCCCTTCGTAATCATACAAGGTACCAAAGCATGTTGAGAAACTGCAACTCTGTGAATCCAGGGTTGGTGCGCAGGGGGTGGACGTGGACGACCTGAACACATTCTTATGGGCAAGAGGCTCTTCAGCATTGCAACCCACCAGTGAGGGATTCAAATCTAGGAGTCAGGCAGTTGGGGTGAGGAGAGGAGAAGAGAACCACCTGATCCATGGGGCATAGAACAGCTGGTAAGCATGAGGATTAAGCACTTTGCAGTTCTAACCTAGAGACAATTAAGTAGTAACTAAAAATCCCTCTCTTCCTTTTGGGAATCAGTTTCAAGCAGTGCTGCTTCTCTGCTCCACACCGAACCTGATGGGGGTTGTGGTGAAAGGACATTCCTGTTTTGGCTTGGGAAGATCAACTCAATGGTGGCAGTGCCGGGAGAAAAGCTACACACTGCCTGAAGCAGTGATGGGGACAGGTGAGGTACAAAGTGCAAACTATAGACAGGAGCTATTTGCTGTGCATATTGGAACAGATCTCCCTTAGATTATTCCTATGTCAATATGCCTGGAATATCTTTTATAAATTCTCTAGTCACTTTATGCAGTCTTCTTAAGATAGCAAGTAACTCAAGAATTCAGACTACATTGCCCACTGTGGCTTTACAGGACATACTAGCTACTGAAAACGCCCACACTTATCAAGGCAGGCTAATGTACAAAAAGCTACAGGCAAAATTTTCATGTTGGCGAGAGACTAATTTAAGGGTGTAAATACCCTGATGCCTGTTGTGCAAGTTGGGGTTTGGGGCATAAGCTACATCCAGGTATGGGGGTGAGTTTCTGAACATCTGACCATAAGTCACCTGTTCCTGTGTTTGGTTGGTTATATTCCTACTGTGTCACACTAAGTGACCACCAAAGATGGGAAAAGGCTACAGAGAACTAGCTCCTAAAGCAAGAAGTTTGTATGAATGTAATGCACGTCTTCAAAGATCCAGAGCAGGGCTGGCCCAGGAGTCTCTGCAGGTCACAAGGAGTCAGCAACTTCGCCCCCTGCTCCCCTAGGTGGGGGCAAAGCACAATGTCACTTAAGAGTTTGGAAAAAGCCATTGATGTTTTAGAAAGTGGATGATGCTGCACAGAGGAAGGATGGTCTTGTGGTTAAGGCACTGCAGAGAGCTGGGTTAAATTCTTAGCTCTGTCAGATTCCTTGTGTGACTTTGGGCAAGCTACTTTGTTCCTCTGCCCTTCAGTTCACCATCTGTAAAAATGGGGATAGTAATATTCCACTCTCCTACCCTGTGTCTTGCCTGTTTAGACTGTAAACTCAGTCGGGTCACATGACAAGTCAAGACACTTTCCACTAGAGGGAAAGGGTAGGGCTAGCAGGGAACAAGCCAAGATTAAGCACTGCTATCTGGTTCATAAGCCACCTTGGGACACGCAGGGTTCCAGGCCAATGAAGGCAAAGAAACTGCACACTTTTAAACTTTGAATAGTTTCCCAGACCTCTCTTGCCAATAGCACCCTGGCTCATCCTCTTGGGCAAACATTTTCTCTCCATCAGCCACCAAACATCCTGAAGACCTCAGCCTCGAGAGACTGGGCATAGCTATTCCACTACAAGTCAGTGCACAAGAGCAGTGTCACAGTTTCTGTACGAGGCACACCCATTCTCGCACATGGCCAGTGAGTGGAAAGATGGCAAAGGGGCAGCCACAGAGCCAGACAGAGGGCTTTCCTCATGGGCTGGTGTTCACATGGTTTCCCCTTTCACCAGGCAAGGAGAAGAGACCCAGCTTCAATTCCCTGCTCCACCAGACTCCCTGTGATCCATTAGGCAAGCCTGTGCCTCAGTTTCCCCTCCGTGCAATGTGGATAACAGCCACGCCCTACATCCCTGGGGAGTTGTGAGGTACTCAGATACCATGGTAATGGGGGGACGCAGAAGTACTAAGACAGGAGAAATGTCATCCATTGTTCTCCAGGGCTACACTGTATTTCACAGAGCCACATGCTTCCTACAGACAGGCTAGTCAGACTCCGCGTAGCTCGCAGATTTCTAAAGCATTCTTCCATCAGAGAGACTCGGCAGCACCTGAGACTCAACATGTCTCTTACGTAGAGAAACACAGCTAGCGCTGGGAGCAGGACACGTAGCCAGTCTGTGCCCCCAATCCAACGTGCTTTTTTTTTTTTTTTTTAATTAAAGAAAACCAAAGGGCAGTGAACAGCTTGTCCAGTTGGAGTTACCAAAGAGGACAAGAGCAAGCGAAATATTCTGACACATTGGACAATGACCAGGGCGCCCAGGATAAGAGGCGAGACAGATGCCGTGGATTCTCCAAGCTCCTGGACACCCAGTGGCTCGGCTGGGTCTCCCCTGGGTGGGGATGTGCCATCTTTCCAAGCCATCCTAGGGTACTGGTTCAACACCAGCTTGGTCAAGGGCTAGTTAGTGACCCAATATCCCTTCCAAGAAGACCCATGTCTGAAACTTACTCAAAGTGATTGAGGAGAGAGAGGAGGCAAATCAGATTCTTGTCTGTTACTTCTGTCCATTGCTCGAAGTGCTGTACACGAGCAGAGCACACCCGTTCCAATCAGAGGCCTTCCCGTGAACCGTTACAAAGCATGGCAGCCCGCCGGGGAGGGAGGGACTCATGATTTGTCCCATTCTGAGAAGCTCGTGGCTTTCCAAACACCTAAACCGGGGCAGGCTGGAGAAACAGAGCACACTGGGCAAGTCCTTACATCTAAGCATCTTACTGTATCAACGACACGCCTCCCCCTGTCAAAGCATATGGTTTTCCACCATTTCTTGTTGTGATGCCAGGGGAGACGGGGAAGGAGGAACAGAGCTGAGCTGACACAAGGAGCGGAGAGATGTTCCACTTTTAGAGACCAGAAGTTGGAGTCACTCTGCATCCTAGTAAAAGGCCAGGAAGCGGGGGCCCACTTAAATCCTCCCCTACAACCACCTTCCTGAGTGGCGGAGGTGGAAATCAACGTCAGGAAGTTGAGACAAAAAGGGAGTTACACAACATGCCTTCTCCTGGACTTAGGCTGGCAAATGTTAAACCTCAAACAAACAGTTTCAAAAGCCTTACATCTGTGTGCCTCATTGAATCGATTATCACAGCCTTCACATTCCAAACAAGCTGCAAAATACAGCCCCTAGGTGCTAGCGGACAGCACTGGGCTTTTAGTTAGTTCCTGCTGTCCTGCCTGCCCGCTACCTTAGTTCCTCAGAGTCCTTTGAAACCTGCCTCTTGCCACAACAGAGAAGGCAGCTCTGTAGCTGGAGGGTTTCAATTGGAGCAGCTGCTAGCACCTTTGTCTGGGCCCCCTGGGGGCCGAGCAATTTTGTTTTTAATCTTCTCTATGACAAGGCTAGGGTGTGAAACACTGGGACGGGGTGGGCGGCGTAATAGGTGCCTATATAAGACAAAGCCCCTAATATCGTGACCTCTGGTCACCCTAAACAAGGCACTCCCCAACATCAGCCTATTAGTCAGTTTTTATTTAGATGAAATTCCTATTTGGTAAAGCGGGAGGCAGCGCCAGGCAGCACAGGCTGCCGATTGACACCTGTCAGTTAGAATGCCACAAACAAACCATTCCTGTAAGCACCCTGCTTGAATTGTAGCTATGTGTTGCCCTATGCTATGAAGTGTGTGTTGGCCTGAAACGCACCTGGCACTTCTCATCCTCAAAGTGCTTTAAACCCCATTACTTCTCACGGCCATATCACCCAAACTTCAAAGACAGGGAAACTACGGCAGCAAAATTAAGTGATTTACCCAACGTCAAAAGAGCCCTGTTTACAACCTGACTCCCACTCAGACCTTTCCCAGTAACCTACAGGTCAGTCACCTGCAGACACTGAATAACTCTCCTTGGCTCCCTAATGAAGGGGTTATATATATAACTCTGGGGCAGTCTGGTCCAAAGGGGTGGAGATAGATATCTATCTTTGCAGCAGGATTGGAGACAGGATTGGAGACAGGTAGACACCCTCCTCCGTATTGCGTGTGATGAATCAGAAACCCCAGCAAGGTTTCCACTTACAAAGGAAGACTCACAGCAGAGAGGTACAGTATCCCAAGGAAAAGGGCAGAAGTAGCACTGAACCAGTACCAGACGTGACCCCGGAGGGAAAAGCTCTGCAATCTAAGCACCTGCTCTGGAGCTACATGTTCAAGTGTGGTCAAGCTACACTCATCCCCTCAGCAGCCCTGCACTGAGAAGAGCTATTGCACCCACCGATTTCCTTTCTGCATCATGTGAAATGCAAGCGCCCCACACAGAGAATGTAAGCATGGGCCATACTGGTCCATCTAGCCCAGTATCCAGCCTTCCAAGTAGCTGGTGCTACAGAGGCAATGAACAGAAAAGGGCAATTGTTCGAGTGATCCAGGCCATTGTACAGCGCCAGCTCCTGGCAGTTAGAAGTTTAGGGAGACACAGAACATGGGACTGCATCCCTGGCCATCTTAGCTAATAGCCATTGATGGACCTATCCTCCATGAACTCATCTCATTCTTTTACTATATTTTGGCAATGAGTTCCACAGGCTTTCTGTGCGCTGTAGGAAGTAGTACTTCCTCATGTTAGTTTTAAACTGCTGCCTATTCGTGTCACCTGGTGACCCCCAGTTCTTGTGTTACAGGAAGTGGTAAATAGCATTGACCAGAGACTCACCAGCAGTCAGGCAGGTTGAGAGTAATGCTGGCCTGGATGTTGGCTCCAAATCGCAGGTATCCCAAGGTCCCCAGGCTGATGTACAAGACAGTGACTATGGCCATTCCCACATACAGGATCACTGGGAAGTGCCGGGGATTCTTCATTTTATTTTCCAGGGGGAGCACCTAGGAGGAAAAGGAGAAGGAAAACCAAACTGAATTCGTTTCCCTACCCGTCACCTCCATGGGTTTGGAGTCTAGCACGCCACCTCTGAGCCAGCATCTTCCTGGATGTGGCTCGCTCAAGAAGACTCTTTGGGTCTGTGCCCCATAGTCAGAGGAGACCCTAAGCAGCAGTGAGTAGCAGCCATGGCACACAGCTGACTGTTGCTGTTTAGCCATTTGCCAGCAGTGCAGCAGCTGAACAGGACGAGATGCTCCCTGGATCATGGGTAACCTCCCCAACCCATGCCATGCTGCAACAAGACCCAAGGAAAAGGAGCAGGGAATCATGTGACTGCGGACACTACCCAAGTCGCTCCACTGTAGAGGAGTTAAGGAGGTGGGACGGTAACAGTAGGGTGAATGCAGGCCCGGGGGTGGATTACACCGTTTAAGACTCTGGTATGAGGTAGCCAGGCTCCTAGGAATCATGTGGTCAAATCCTAATGGGGTCAGCTCATCCCTTCAACCTTTCAAAAGAAGAGGAGAGTGCTACACAATGTACCGTAGCACCGAAAGTCCTGCCGCTATTTCCTAAGTGCGGTTAGACGCCCCTGCCCTTAAATCCTGCTCTTGGGCAAGATTTCCCCTGTTGCGTGCTGCACCAGCTGCTCACCACACTCCACTCCAGAGGGGGGGCATTATCACCATCTCCCTGTCCAACCCAGTCTCCCTGCACTGCTGGCTTTCAGAGAACTACTGGCTAGGACTGCTGGGGGAGGGGAGGGGAGGGGAGAAAATACTATGCATGGGTGGGACTAGTCTATACTGGGATGATAAAGTTATACTTTAGTTTGTCCTACATCTAGCACTGCTAACTGGCTTCACTACCTCTGTGCATCCTGAAGGTTTCCATTCCCCCCCCTTCACAATAAACTGTTTCAAGAGACCCCCTTCTCCCCTTAATAGAGAAAAGAATCGCTCCCTCCCATTCTTCCTCATTCCTTAAGACTAACTGGCTTTACCATGTCATCTCCTGCTGAAAGTACCAGCACTGCATCCCTGTAAGTGATACGTGAACTTCATTCAGGATGTACCAGAATGCCATTAAACTCATGTACTTTCTCCGTACAGCCTCATCCGCTATTCTCATGCTTGGGCCATAGGTAATGTAGCTGCTAAAGGAGTTGTGTAGGAGTTAGCCGGTGTCAGGTATAATTTACAGGAAGCTACTATGCCTTCCCTTCTTTGTAAACACAGTGCTGGCAGCAGTCCCCAATCATTTCAACCAGACAGTGAGGGATTAGAAAAAGCCACAGGTTTAAGCTATTTCAACTTTTCCACAAAATACTGAAAAACAACGAAGCAGCAATGCCTCATAGGAATTGTAGTTTGGGTGCCTTATGCTCCCAATCTCCTCAAAGGGCTGGGTTTGCTAGCTGGACTACATCTCCCATGATGCCTCCTCCCCTTTTGGAGAAGGGAATTCATTATAGGAGTCACTGACTTTATGCAAAGAAAAGTCCAGCCAGCGAGCCCTCCTATACAAGAGAATGGGAGCACAGAACCCCCAAATTGCACCATTTTGAATCGAAATACTTCAGGTTTTGTGCATTTGGTTTTCAACAACATATCAAAGTTTTCCATGGAAATCAGACTTTTTGAACAATTTCATTCCACTGAAAATACAATTTTTTGTAAGCTGCTGAGAAACAATTTTCAAGAAGCCCTAGTAATCAAAAGTAACAGGAGAGACAAAAGACGACACTTTTCTGGGGGGGTGGTAGGAGTGCATTGTGAAGTTTGCAGCATGTTGCTTTACCTCTACTCAAGACTATGGCCACTGTGCTTAAGAACGGCCATACTGGGTCAGACCAGTGGTTCATCTAGCCCAGTAGCCTATCCATGACAGTGGCCAGTGCCAGATGGTTCTGGCAGTTGGTTAAGGAGAACCCAGAGCATTGGATTGCGTCCCTAACCATCTTGTTAGGATGGATAATAGCCATTGATGGAGCCATCCTCCATGAACTTACCCAATTCTTTTTTGAACTCTTTATACTTTTGGCCTTTACAACATCCTTTGGCAATGAGTTCCACAGGTTGACAGTGCATTGTGTGAAGTAGTACATCCTTATGTTTGTTTTAAACCTGCTGCCTATTCATTTCATTAGGTGACGCTTAGTTCTTGTGTTACGTGAAGGGTTAAACAACACTCTTGTTCACTTTCTCCACACCATTCATGCTTCTATAGACTTCTGTCATATCCCCTCCTCCCCCTTACTTGTCTATTTTCTTAGCTGTTTTCAGTCTTTTTAATCTTTCCTCATATGGAAGCTGTTCCATACTCCTAATCATTGTCTTGCCCTTCTCTGCCATCCTTTCCAATTCTAATAGATCTTTATTGATATGGGGCAACCAGAACTGTACACAGTATTCAAGGTGTAGGCAGACCATGGATTTATATAGTGACATTATGTATTTTCTGTTTTATTATCTAGCCCTTTCCTAATGATTCCTACCATTGTTAGACTGCTGCTGCACAAAGAGCGGATGCTTTCAGAAAACTCTCCACAATGACTAAATGATTGCTTTCTGGAGTATTAACAGCTAATTTAGACCCCATCATTTCGTATGTATAGTTGGCATTATGTTTTCCAATGCACTTACTTTGTATTTATCAACACTGAATTTCATCTGCCATTTTGTTAGACCCCTTTGTAACTTTACAGTAGGCTATGGGCTTAACTATCTTGAGTAATTTTGTATCATTTGAAAATTTTGCCACCTCACCGTTCACCCCTTTTCCAGATCATTTATGAATATATGTTGAACAGCACAGGTCCCAGGACAGATCTTTGGGGGACCCCACTATTTACCTCTCTTCATTGTGAAAACTGGCAATTTATTCCTACCCTTAGTTTCTTATCTTTTAACCAGATACTGATCCATGAGAGGACCTTCCCTCTTAACCCATGACTGCTTACTTTGCTTAAGAGCCTTTGGTAAGTGACCATGTCAAAGGCTTTCTTAAAAGTCCAATTTCCTTTTCCCACTGGATCACCCTTGTTATTAGCTTGTTGACACCCTCAAAGAATTGTAATAGATTTGTAAAGTGAAATCTTGCCTCACAAAAGCCGTGTTGCCCAACAAATCATGTTCATCTGCGGGACTGATAATTCTGTTCTCTACTATAGTTTCAACCCATTTGCCAAAGTTAGGTTTTCCAGCCTTTAATTTCCAGGATCGCTTCTGCCGTGGAGCCTTTTTCAAAAATAGGCATAACATTAGCTGTCGTCCCATCATCTAGTACAGAGGCTAATTTAAGCCACAGGCTACATACCATTAGTAGTTCTGCAATTTCATATTTGAGCTCCTTCAGAACTCTTGGGTGAAAACCATCTGGTCTTGGGGACTTACTGCTGTTTAATTGATCAATTTGTTCCAAAAGCCCCTCTACTGACACCTCAGTCTGGGAGAGTTCCTCAGGTTTGTCACCTAAAATGAATGTGTGTGAGGATGTGGGTGTGAGGATCTCCCCCACGTCCTCGGCCATGAAAACTAACACGAAGAATTAATTTAGCTTCTCCGCAATAGCCTGGTCTTCCTTGAGGGCTTCTTTAGCACCTCGATCATCCAGTGGCCCCTCAGACTGTTTGGCAGGTTTCCTGCTTCTGATGTACTTACATTTTTGCTGTTAGAATTTGAAGAGCAACTAGCTCAGGACACAAATACTTTCTTGGCCAGTCTTATTCTTTTACAGTTGACTTGTCAGTGGTGCTTTTGGGTCTTCAAATATAGACTTTTGTGAGATCCTGTGATAGCTGCTATGTGTCTTAGACTGCACTGGGTTTTAAAGAGGGAGCATCAACAGGTCACAGAAGCACAGCTGTTGGAGTAGAGGACTGTGAGAGAAGCAAATTAAGCCAAAGAAAAAGCTTTTATTCCCACCGCTCCATGCTTGCTTTGTGAACACGGCTGGGGAGAGAGGGCTTGTACACAGTCTTTACAGTTCTGTGCAGTGCATTTTTCAATACTCTGGTGTCTTTGATAAGAACTAGATAAGTTCCTGGAGGATAGCTCCATCAATAGCTACTAGCCAAGATGGTCAGGGATGCAACCCTATGCTCTGGGTGTCCCAAGCCTCTGACTGCCAGAAGCTGGGAATGGGCGACAGGGAATGGATCATTTGATGATCACCTGTTCTGTTCATTCTCTCTGAAGACCAGTGCTTTGGCCACTGTCGGAAGACAGGATACTGAGTTAGAGGGACCACTGGTCTGACCCAGTCTGGCCATTCTCATGTTCTTAATGGACTTGGTGCTTCCAGCTCATGTGTTTACGCAGCCAGGTAACACAAAGACATGAAACCAGCTGTCCCCTTAGAAAGGGAGCTCTGGGAAATCCCCTATGAGGTTTAACCAAGATAATAAAAGTGCTCCACCCCTTCCTTTTTCACATCAGCATGCTGCTCTATTTACAGCACCTACTAGAAAGTAGGCAAACATAATTGGCACCACCGGAAATTGAACCGAAACCGCTGCAAGATAGCAGGCTACTCAAGTGGAGGGACTAGACCAAGCACTCCAATCCTCATGTCACTTTGTCTTTCCTGTCTCTAGCAAGGCAGCTTTAAAACCCAGCGAAGTTCACTCCTATAGGCCACACTTATCTGTGCCACACAGGTAGACCAAGGTCTTTAAGTCAGAACGCCGGCTTTGAAAGTATTAGATCTGAAGAGGAAGCAATTGAACAATTGCTGCTTTAGTGTAAAGGTCTTTCAAGATTTCTTTAAAGGGCTCGATACCCCTCCATTCTCCTAGTAGCAGCGAGGTTTGACAGAGGGAAGCTGTGTCTGTGTAGTGGATGCACAACGAATACCAGTCACCCAGGTCAAACATTTGGCTTACAAGAAGAGAGAGAGAGAGAGATCAGCACATACAGAACAGATGCTGCAGAGAGCGTGAATAGCAGCCGATTCTTGCACCGCTGACAAGCCGACACTTACCACTCCGATACCTTCGAAAGCAAAGATCGCCGTGCCAAAAAACAGAGGGTAGGTCTTCCAGCCCGCTACAAGAGGCAGGTTGCTGGGATCTGGAATGCTCTAGAAAAGAGAAACTTGGATTTAAATGCAAGAGAGAAACCAAGGCCTGGTTCAAAGGTTCTTTTCTGTCGCACTTGCTCACCACTCAGTCAAAACATGGACTCAAATGCTCCTGAAAGCAGGTGTGCATCCAGCACTGCAAGAGCTGGGCAAGTTTCTCCCTGTACAGTGCACCTAATGCTTTACCTACCGTCCCCCACCGACTCTAGTGTACGCCCTCCCCCGACCACACACCCACTCCTCTAACCGTCTTGACCGGCAGCAATCCCTAAGAGTAGCTCATATAATGCAGAGGTAGCCAAACTGTGGCTCTTTTACAGTTAAAGTGCGGCTAAAAGCCCTCCATGCCTCCACTTACTCCACCTACCAGACTTGGGGTAGTGGGAAGATTTGGGCTCCTGCTCTGCGGCAGGGTGGTGGGTCTCAGGGCTTATGGCCTGTGAGAGCAGGGCTCTTGGGGCTTCAGCCCCACTCCTGATCCCCGAGACACACCCCTCCCCTCCGGGCCAGGCAGACTCCCCAAGACCCCCTCCTTCTCTGCCAGGCTGAAGCTCCGAACCCCAGCAGGCATGCCCGGCTCTCAAACTTCTGAAGATCATCATATGCAGTCCCTGAGTGAGGTCTGGAAGGTCTCTAGATTGGCGAGGCATTCGGCTTTGCTCTTTGCACGTACCGTGATGATATACCAGTTTATCATGATGAGACTGCTCAGCATGGCGAGGTTGGCCAGCATGGAAAAGATGGACAGGAACTTGAGATTCTGTATGTACACGAGCAGCACCAGGAACGGCAGTAAGGAGAGGATGAACAACCGGGAGTCCATAGTGGGAGTCAGCACCGTGGTTTTGTTGGAATGGCAGTCATTGGTGGTGCCATTTGCTGCAGAGATCACCTGGAGGGAGGAGCCAAAAAAAAATAAACAAAACCCTGGATCCTGAACTGTTCCCTGTCATAACCTGAACTTGGCAACCGAGTCGCGTGGCTGATGGCGAGTCCTAGCCACACAGTTATGGTCTCACAATTTAAGAGCCACACAACCTTTATCTTTTAGAGATAGGCTGCATTTGCAAACTTAAAATACTGCAAGTTCTTTTAATAACCCAACAGACGGCTGTAGGACAGGGAGGGAGGGGACATTTAACATGGCTTTGCTATGCAAACACTTTGAACTTCTGTAGCAGCTTCCATATGAATTTTACAGAGCTTTGTAAACACCAAATGAAACTCAGACTCCCAAGCGAGAAGAGTTAGGGTCCCTAGATGGGGAAAGCGAGGCATAGCAACTCAGAGACTTGCATTGAGGTCACACAGCATGCCCGATGAAAAGCTAGGAATAGAGCCCAGTCCTGTGCTTTAGACACAACAGCATCCGCCCCCTGCCATAGTCACAGATCCTGGGTACTCAAAGACACTCTTACAGTTAAAGTGCGGCTTTACACCTCGCCTATCACATCAAGTGCAAATCCGTCAAATTGCTGGACAGCTGAGCTAGGATTTCCGAACGAGTTGCAAATAACCCTTTTTAGCCAAACCATAACTAGTCTATTAAAGAGACAGGACAGTATATTTTTACAGAACTCAGTGTGCACACACGCTCTGCATAAAGCGGGAACAGCCGGTTTCTTTTTTTGCCGCATCATGATTGGATTAAAGGCACTTTGGTGCTAGTATACAATCTATTACCCAAGCCGTAACCACTCCTGGGGCGGCGAAGCACAGCACAAAATATAAACACATATTGTGCAAAGACTTAATGTTCCAGATTTCACAGGAGGATTTACTTTACGATCATGTAAAATAATGCCCCCAAATATGGGCTTCTGAAACCAGCAAGGGGCTTTTCCCCACCCTCAGCTAGTAAAGAAGCAAACAAACATCTGATCTCCATTTCTAATGGTCGGCTTCTTTGTAGCTCAGCCAGCACTGGAACTTCGAGATCGCTCCATTATTAAAGCGACGTGAAGGGTTCCCATGGCAGGAAGCCTGCCTTGAAACAGCAGTGACAGTCAGCCAATGCGGTCAGCGAACTAACAGCTGGCGGCATTTGTCCACCTGCCCTCTAGTCATGACTGACTATGACAGGGTCTGTGAGGTGAAAGAAAAACAGCCCATCGTACAAAGAGAGCACTAATGCAGAGCAGCCACTTCACACTAATTCACTGCCCTGTGGAAACCGACAGGACACCCCCAAAAGACAGAAGGCAATGTAATGCTGGGAAGGACATGAAACCTCCAGGAATTCACTCCGGTGTATTCCCGAGTGTGGTGACTGGAAGATCCCCTCCCTGCTCTCTTCACCTCCTGAGGCTATTGGTTTTCATGACATTATGGCCCAGTTCTTTGGAGCAACCTGAGGTGTCCTCTCTTCTCCCCCCTACATCTCCACCCTTTCCCAGGTGAGTAAGAATTTCCACTGATCTGAATAAAACCCAACTAAGCAGGTTTCCAGCGTTCTCAGACTTCCACCAGCATCCGACAGATCAAACCACTCGCTGAGCTGGCACACGTCTGTGGATTTCTCACAGTGACTAAGCTCCCTGCAGAGTGTTTATTAAGTAGATATGACTGCGGATGCAGTCTCCTTTCCAGCCACTTATTTAAAAAAGATCCATCACAGCGTCAAGGGAGCTGCCCCAGAAAAGCTCCCCTCATGCTGGGCAAGCAGGTGGGCAGGGTTTCCTCTAATGCTTTGTGGGACACTTGGCAGCCCCTTTCCCATCCGGCTCCCCCTGTGCACGGCCTGGCTCAGAGCCCCAGAGCGTGGAACACAGTCAGATCTTCAATGCCCAGTGTGCCCTTGATTCCCTCCTACATACTGTCCCTCGAGAGGCATCAGCACGAAGGGAATCTCCTTGGCCATTATTTATTTAAAAGCTACAGCGCTTTCATTTTATACCCTGCCTGCTATATTCCAGCCATTTAAAAGGAAAGGAGTGACTGGCATGGGGAGGCATGCAGGGGACTCCCAGCTTGCTCTGAAGTTTTGCAAATGCCTGTTTCTAGGTTGTAATATTTTGGTCTAATTTCAGTTGCTGGGCTTGGGGTGTAGGTGCCGGGCGGTAACATGTGATATACAGGAGCTCAGCCTACATGATCTGATGGTCCCTGCCCTGGGAAGTTTGCAGTCCAGAGAAAAGAGACCTAATTCATTTGGTTCTGTTTAAAAGAGCTTTCACTGGCATCATTCTACAACAGGAACCCCCCCTTGAAATTGAGCTGGTCTCAATAGGAGCGTCTAGGTGTTACCGTACTGTCTAGTTCAATATCCCATCGGACTGTGGCCAGTACCAACTGCTTTGAAGGAAGGTGCAAGATTCCCCACAATACGCAATGTGGGATAATCCCCTTCCCCTCTTAATCCCGGAGGCTTGGAAGCATCCACAGCCAAGGGATGTGGCAGGCAAGTATTATCTAGTGCTGATTTTTTTTTCCCAGATCCTGCCTTTAGTTCCCTATGTGAGTGTGGAAGACAAGAGGTCTCGCAGCCATTTATCACCTGTGACAAATACAGGGAGGTTATATCTGTCACTTTCCCACTTTGCACAAATGCGGCCGGGATATTGATCGCTGCCTTTGGTCTGAAGGGTTATATTTTCCTGTACCGCTCTAGTTATGGAAGCAAGTCTCTTCTCCCTGGGTTTGGGTTTTAGTTTGCGGGAGGAGGAACAACCTGAGCTCCTCCCTCACCCCAAATCTGGAGAGAATTTTTAAACAAAAACTCACCTCCCCACCCCCTTATCGCCAAAAAAGCTGAAGTCTTACCTGTTTCAGATTGTCAGCCAGAAATACGAAATAAACACAGCAGAACCCCAGCTGGGTGAGAATCAAGAAAAATCCCACTATGTATCTGGGGGTGGGGGGGAAAGAAAGTATTTAAAAAAGAAACAAATGCTAAAAGACACAGACTCATGCTAGAGGTGCATCCTTTGATCCTAATGCTACATCAACAGTGTGAGTGATTCCTCAGCTAGGAGACTGCAATACAGAGCTAGAGGTCAAAGGGTGATCTGGATTGCTTGCTTTTGCTGATGGTAGGAGGGAGCGTTGCCGGAGGAAGAAGCTTCCCCTCTCCCTCCCTTTCACCAGGAAGCTCACACAGCAGAAGGCCCTTTGAGTACTCTGACCTTTTTAAGGTGGAGGCTCTCAACTCGGAGACAAGCCAATACCTGGAACAGGCCCATCAGAAGCAGCAGCAAGCAGAGAAATGTGCGTGAACAGATCTGTTACACAAGGGTGGTTTCCAACCACTGTCTCAGCAAAGGGATAAGATGGGATCCTGCATCTTATGCTTAAAAATGCCTAGCTCTCTGTTCACCTTCTCCACCCCATCTCCCATTTTAGAAGGGGCTCAGTGTCCTGTGCTAGACCTGGGTAAGTCTGACATCGTGGCCTCTAGAGATTTAGCCCAAGAGTGCCGTAAAGGCATCTCAAATATTGTGACCAAGGAGGGGACCTTATCTTGCAGTTTGGCGAGGTGCAGAAGCACAGAGTTTACACTGGGTGGGGATGAAGATCTGGACCCCCAAAATTCATAGATTCCAAGGCCAGACGGGACCATTGTGCTCATCTAGTCTGATCTCCTGTAGAGCACAAGCCACAGAACTGCTCCCAAGTAATTCTGCAAGCAGATCGGTTAGGAAAACATCCAGTCTTGATGTTAAAATTGTCAGTGATGGAGAATCCACCCCAAGCCTGGGGTAAGTGGTTTCAATGGTTAATTACCCTCGCTGTCAACTGAAGAGGGTCCCTCCCCACCCCCAGGAGTTTGGATTGCCCGTTCCGCGGAAGGGACCAGCACCACCCCCGTAAGGGAAGCCTTGCCATCTGGGAGACTCAGCTATGCTCATCCTTTTTTGCTTTAAAAGTTTTCTCCCCGCTGCATTCAAGGAGACCAGTCCCAGCAAGAGAGGTTACAGGCTCTTGTTGCACCAGAGAGGCCCCGAGCCACAGAAGCCCTGCTTCACATATGGATTGTCAGTGTGTGTAACAGGTACACTGCTAACGTACGGACTTGGGCAACACCTGCCAGGCAGCGGAGTTACTGAAACGGATGGGAAGCCTCTGACCGGCGGTTAAGCTTCCTCGGTGTCCAGCGGCTGACAGGAATTTGTGCCAACATGCAATGAGGTAATTAGCGTCATCTGTCCCTTCCTTGCTCGGCTGCGGAGCAAATGAGTTTCCTTTTCCCACCCAGATACGTGCAGTCAAGTACCACATTTCCCCTACAGCACCACAGCTGAGCACACGGGGATGACCTCCCACATTTCAAGGCAATAAACACAGCGAGACAGAGTCCAGCATCCAGGGGCATAGACAAGCGACTGCAGAGCACCCAACAGTTGTGTTTGCCTAGAGCCTGGTCAGACCCTAGGGCTTTGCGTTGTGCAGCCTCTCTCAGGGTAAGAAAGGTGCTCTGCACAAAGCCAGGCTCCCCTCAGACTGGGACAAGGCTGAGAAGGCAGATGTGGCGTTCCCCTGAACTGGAAGAACTGCTTAAGTCTCTTATTTTGCTCACTATTTGATTAGCATGTTTTAGAGCCCAGCCAGCCCTTCCTCTCCCAATCCAAACCCAAAGCAAGAAGAGAACATGGTACCTTCCCCAGATGGCGTGGGTCCGAAGCCAGGCACTAGGGCTGGCTTCCAGCCCGTACATCACAGCATCTCCATAGTCCACAAAAGGCCTTTGATATCTGAAGGCAGAGAGAAAAGCGACAATGGTGGCCCAATCTACCTTCTAGTTTCAGAGGCACAAACCGGGGGAATAACACAAGATTGCTGGTATTAGATGCAAGGCTGAAGATATTTCTGATTGGCAAATTTTGGGCCAGGGTCCCCAAACTTTTTACATTATGTGTCCCCCCCGTCCCCCCCCCATATACCACTTGCCTGTGCCCCCTGGGCCGCAGTCGTGAGCCAGGGCCGGAGCCATGTCTGGGAGCAGAACTGCAGCCGGGCTGTGGCTAGGGTCAGAGGCTGTGGCTGAGAGAGCAGCAGTTGGGGGCAGGCCAAGAGCAGAGGCACGGTCGGGGCTGGCAGCAGGGGCCGAGTGCCAAGGCCAGGGCTGCATGTGACCCTGCAGCCGGGAGTCAGGGCCAGAGCTGGGGGCAGAGCAAGGCTGGGTGGTGCTCCTGTGGAGACTGGCCCAGGCCCTGTTGCGCCTCCCCAAACATTCCTCCACATCCCCTAGGGGAGCACGCCCCATAGCTCGGGGACCACTCTGCTAGGCCACTGTAAATAACTCGTCATGCTTCTCTGTTGAACCCAGGTACCATATAATGGAGATGGAACCGTCAACCTTGTGTAACCACAAGCAGTAACCCCACAGTATCTGCTCAGAGGAAGATAGGAATCCACCCAGGACAGGTGTGAGCTGGGGACTTGAACCAACAGACAAGGAGAGCTCTTGGATACACTAGTGCAAGCAGAGACACAACCCCAAATCAATCAGGGGCCATGGGAAGTGAAAACGACCTCCATTTTCTATTTCATTCTTTGATACTTTCCCCCTCTGCGGCTCTTCCCAGTCAGTCATCTCCAGGCACATCACAGGTGTGAGTGACGTGCACCTCCCAAGGCCCCTGGGAGGTAGGGAGGCGTCGCCACCCCCATTTTACAGGTGGGGAAGCAAAGGTGGAGAGAGATTAAGTGATTCACAAAGGAGTCTGAAGAACCAGGAGAGCTTTGATTCACTGCATCATGGTGGTAGTTTGAGAGATCAAGGACTGGGACAACAAATACAGGGCTGTCAGGTGCACTGCCAGGCTCAGCACTGGGAAAAGGGGGCGTAGTGCGAAATCAGGACCGAGGAACACACCTGTAACACACTGTGTGACTGACTCTGAGGGCCAGGCACAGCACAATCACATGCTGTACACAATTGCCTTTATAATAGCCTCTCTCCTTACCCAGGTGTAAGTGTTCCTCCCCATCAGCTCCCTCTCTCTAACAGAAACTGACCAAGCCCTTGAAAAATCTGTGCAACTTACCTAACCTGGTAGCTTGCAAAAAGCTTCTTCCCAATAGGAGGAACTTGGTGCAACGCTCCGCAGATCTGGTTACAATATTACAAAGGCAACATCCTCTCCAACCCTCTACGTCCACCATGCACCACACCCAGGGATTCAGGAAGGAGAGCTTTCTGTCCACAGGTTGCACAAGGGCTTTCAGCACTGATAGAATGCTGCCTGCGGACTTTAAAGGATGTGCCACCAAAGAACCCCATTTCTAATGAGCTCCATAAACCTCAGGCAAGGGGAGTGCTGGGAAGGGGATAGGAGGCCAACACTTCAGACATGACAGCAGTGGGGGTTTCTCTTACTTGTTGCAGAAGTGGTGAGCGCATTTAACCAGGATGCCCATACAATGCACTGCGGCGATTCCCATCACCAGCAAACTGAGAGGGCCCAGCTAGACAGCAGGAGAGGAGAGAGAAAGGAGAGAGAGAGAGAAGAGTGCACTCTGATGGTTAAAACGAGAACTGCAAGACTGGGTTTACATTAGACAGCAATGTATAGAGAGCTGAGAACACAAGCGCGGTCCTGCCTGCATTAGAAGAGCGTACCAAGGAACCCAGGCAAAACTCCTAACACAGTGGGAATCAGAACTGTGAGGGGGAAAAGCTCTGTAGGATCCAGGCTCTGCCTTTCCAAATGCTGGATTGTTCCCTGCAGTCCAACACAGTCCCAGGTCTGGGGCCACCTCGCGACTGCGGACTGGTGGAGAGTAGCGGAAGCCCCAAGCGAGGTATGTTGGCTTCGTCTGATGCCAAAGCACCTCAAGGAGCTTTATAGAAGATGGACGATATTTAAACAGCGCATGGCACCAGATTAGTAACAAAGTCATGGGGGAAATGGAACCGTTGGGGTTGGACTCAGTGTCAGGATCCCCAGCACCCCTGGAGCTCCATGGGAATGGGCAGAAGGGCCGCCTGCTCCCTCCACAGATGCTGAAGCGATGCACTGTATGGCCTATTATAGATACTGGCGAGACAAATACGCCCGTATCAGTGCCTGAGGGTTGCAGGAGCAGCTAGATACACAAGAATGTTAATCAGCAGGAAGGCTCAGCAGCATCTGATGGCTAAGGAATGCAGTTCAGCACTAGGTGCTTCTGGGACAGCGTTAACGCCCAAGTTCTACCGCCTGGGCTCGGCGGACGGGATGTTGTCACACTGCAAAGTTTTGTTTTAGGTCACAATTTACATGTGTACTTAATTGCTAGGAGCGGAGAAGAGACCGCCTGATGTTTCACAATGTGTTTTCTCAGTCTAGGTAAGGGGTGAGAGGACACCTTCTAGCAGCCAGAGGCTTTACAGTCACTGGTCTAACTGCAGCATTGGAAAGAAACCCACACGAGGCTAAGGGTCGCTGTACGATCAGCAAAAAGGGCCTGCCCCACAGCTCTGGAGTCTGCAGCCCTCGGTTTGTCTACAGGATACAGCACAGTGACCTCAGTGCATGGGCAAACCTTCCCCAACGCCCTGCTTCAAGCCCGGGCAGAGGAAATGGCACCAAGAGGAACCCAGCAGCAAAGCCCTGCTGATACCTTCCCCCAAGAAACCAGCCCAACGCCGCAGCTCTTCGCTGGGGCTTCTGAACAGCCAGCCACTAGCCGTGCAGTCGCTACTGACCTAGCAGGGAGTGGAACCGATGACGTAGGCCTGGATGCTTTCTAGCCTATGACCAACCCCAGCAGCCATCTAAGCAGGAGATGTTAGACACACAGAAGGCCTGAGTCCAAGCCATCAACATGCCACTGTCTAGAAACCAAGCAGAAGCCCCCACACCCACAATTGGAATGGGTGCCTGCGTGCTAGGAGGGAAGACACGATCTTACCACGATGCCAGCATTTTTCACAGCCAGGGGCAGTCCCAGCAGGCCAGTGCCAATATTCCCTTTCACCAGGTGGATCAAGGTTTGAAACCATCTGCAGATGAGAAGATACAGAGACGGTCAGGATTGCCACAAGATATTCAAGCCCCATCCCCAAGCCCCAGTGCAAGCCTGACAGTGTACTTCAGCCCCAGCCTCCCCGCCACACAGCCACTCGAGTCCTAGGCTGCCCTTGAACAGAGATTGGCAGTGGTTGGGAACAGAAAATACCCTTGCAGGATCTCTGAGCAGCAGATGCGTCTGCCGGAGCAGCAAGCAGAGCTTAGCACCTGCAGGTCTTCATAAGCCCAGCCGCACCAGCAAGTGACAACGCAGTCAGAAGCGACTGATACTGAATGGGTCCATGAGCTCAAGCATCTTGCACTGCCATTCAGGGAGATGTTGGGTAGCCCCGAGCAAACTCTGCAGGTCAGGAGCTTCCCCGTTCGGAGGCCTGGGTGCCCACGGTGTGAAATGATTTTTGATTACAGCTGCTTCAACGCTAGCTGCCCCGGCATGTACCCTTTCGCTTGAACTGGGAGCAAGGAAGATGCTGAGACATTACTGCAAGCACGCTACTGATTGCTCTGGATCCGGGCAAGTCATTTGCCTTCCACATCCCCAAGTCAGAGCTGGCTGGGGAAAAAAAGGTGGCGGGAGAATGCAGGCGGGGAGAGGGCAATCCAAAGCTGGTTTAAAAAAAAAAATTTTAAAATGCTGTCTCTGAGTCAGGCTTCGGGGGGGAAATAAACTGCTGGAAAAAATTTCTGCCGAGACCCGGCATCTGTGCCAAGTACCCAGTCTATCCACGCCCAGACTGAGCTTACAGCAACCCTGGCGGGTGGAGCCCTTGCTCCCGGAGACCTGTACGGACAGGCACGAGAGAGTCTGCAAAGCCAGCTGCCTCCCCCTCACCCTGAAAGGGGGCTAGTGCTTTCCCGGTTACACAGCACATGGCCAGCGCACAGGGTGCCAGAGCATCCTCCGAGGAGTACCGGGGGGTCGCGGCGGCCAGCAGCTGAATGCAGAGCCCACCACCAGCCACACCCAGGCAGTCTGCGGCAGCGGAGACAAGAGGTGGTTCTGAACCAGTCACTCACGTTGTCCCGTTGCTCTCCCCAAACCGCTGGTAGGACTCAGGAGATGCAAAGCCATTTCTGCCTTCAGTGGGGCTCCCGTCAGGCGTAGCCTCTGTGGAGCTGTAGTCCTTGTAGTCCTCGCTCCGCAGCCTCCTGGTGGACATAGTGGCTGTGGAAACAATCACATCAGAAACTGCTACTGCTGCTAACTCTATGCTCCCTGCCCGAGTCACTTCTGTGCTCCCTGCCTGGGCTTTCTTTGGTTCACCCATGGTCACAGGACCAGCTCCCTGTGCAATTACCAGAGCAGGCTCTCCCTGGCAGGCTATTATAGGGCCTCCAGACCAACCGGAGGAGAGCCTAGGCCTGTGCAGGGGTCAACAGAAGTCCTGCACTCCTCCCCGAAGCAAGACACACCCACCCGGGATGCACCCAGCAATTCCTGCGGGGACAGATCACTCAGAGGTGACTTGCCCAGATACTTAACACCAGATGACACGGACGTCTGTACCGCTTCTCCCAAACAGGCCGGGTAGACAGAGCAACCAGCGCCCGTGCAAGCTGGCAGCACACGGCCCCGGAGCTCTCCACCTACTTGCAGGTCACCTTTACGGAAGGCTGTTGACAGCTGCTCAGAACGGAAGGTTCTGTACAGGCTAGATAGCGGCTGTAATACGCCACCAAGGAGTGGATACACTCAGGGCTGACAGGCACCCAAAGGACTCCCAGTGAAGAGACACGGACTGTCTGTTAAGTGACTTTCGCTGCAGGTGAGCAACTGCCCCACACGCAGCCAGCAGAGTTCCCAACCGTCTTTCATCCTGGTATTTTGAGATCCGTGTTTACAACAAGCAGGTCCCAACCCCACTGCCAGGGCCAGCTCCAGGAATCTTTACCCAGGGTTCAGGACTTCCTGTCCCTCCCCCGCCCCCACCATGAAATCAGACTGATCAAGTTGGATTAGGGGTTTAAACTGCTTCCTGGATAAGATCTGACAAGAGAAAACAATGGAGAGGCTTTCAGGAGCCTTTCTACTCAGTCAGCAATTGTGTAGAAAGAATAGTAAATATGGCAGGCGACCAGCTTGGCTTAACAGTGAAATCCTTGCTGATCTTAAACACAAAAAAGAAGCTTACAAGTAGAAGATTGGACAAATGACCAGGGAAGAGTATAAAAATATTGCTCGGGCATGCAGGAGTAAAATCAGGAAGGCCAAATCATACCTGGAGTTGCAGCTAGCAAGAGATGTTAAGAGTAACATGAAGGGTTTCTTCAGGTATGTTAGCAACAAGAAGAAAGTCAAGGAAAGTGTGGGCCCCTTCCTGAATGAGGGAGGCAACCTAGTGACAGAGGATGTGGAAAAAGCTAATGTACTCAATGCTTTTTTTGCCTCTGTCTTTACGAACAAGATCAGCTCCCAGACTGCTGCACTGGGCAGCACAGCATGGGGAGGAGGTGACAAGCCCTCTGTGGAGAAAGAAGTGGTTCGGGACTATTTAGAAAAGCTGGACGAGCACAAGTCCATGGGGCCGGATGCACTGCATCCAAGAGTGCTAAAGGAGTGGGCGGATGTGATTGCAGAGCCATTGGATTTTTAAAACCTCACGAATCTTTAAAACCTCACGGCGATTGGGGGAAGTCCCAGATGACTGGAAAAAGGCTAATGTAGTGCCCATCTTTAAAAAAGGGAAGGAGGAGGATCCTGGGAACTACAGGCCAGTCAGCCTCAGCTCAGTCCCTGGAAAAATCATGGAGCAGGTCCTCAAGGAATCAATTCTGAAGCACTTAGAGGAGAGGAAAGTGATCAGGAATAGTCAGCATGGATTCACCAAAGGGCAAGTCATGCCTGACTAATCTAATTGCCTTCTATGACGAGGTAACTGGCTCTGTGGATGAGGGGAAAGCAGTGGATGTGTTGTTCCTTGACTTTAGCAAAGCTTTTGACATGGTCTCCCACAGTATTCTTGCCAGCAAGTTAAAGAAGTATGGGCTGGATGAATGGACTATAAGGTGGACAGAAAGTTGGCTAGATTGTCGGGCTCAACGGGTAGTGATCAATGGCTCCATGTCTAGTCGGCAGCCGGTATCAAGTGGAGTGTCCCAAAGGTTGGTCCTCAGGCCGGTTTTGTTCAATATCTTCATTAATGATCTGGAGGACGGTGTGGATTGCACTCTCATCAAGTTTGCAGATGACACTAAACTGGGAGGAGAGGTAGATACGCTGGAGGGTAGGGATAGGACACAGAGGGCCCTAGACAAATTAGAGGATTGGGCCAAAAGAAATCCGATGAGGTTCAACAAGGACAAGTGCAGAGTGCTGCACTTAGGACGGAAGAATCCCATGCACCGCCACAGACTAGGGGCCGAATGGCTCAGCAGCAGCTCTGCGGAAAAGGACCTAGGGGTGACAGTGGACGAGAAGCTGGATATGAGTCAGCAGTGTGCCCTTGTTGCCAAGAAGGCCAATGGCATTTTGGGATGTATAAGTAGGGGCATTGCCAGCAGATCAAGGGACGTGATCGTTCCGCTCTATTCGACATTGGTGAGGCCTCATCTGGAGTACTGTGTCCAGTTTTGGGCCCCACACTACAAGAAGGATGTGGAAAAACTGGAAAACGACCAGCGGAGGGCAACAAAAATGATTAGAGGACTGGAACACATGACTTATGAGGAGAGGCTGAGGGAACTGGGATTGTTTAGCCTGCAGAAGAGAAGAATGAGGGGGGATTTGATAGCTGCTTTCAACTACCTGAAAGGGGGTTCCACAGAGGATGGATCTAGAATGTTCTCAGTGGTAACAAATGACAGAACAAGGAGTAATGGTCTCAAGTTGCAGTGGGGGAGGTTTAGGTTGGATATTAGGAAAAACTTTTTCTCTAGGAGGGTGGTGAAACACTGGAATGCGTTACCTAGGGAGGTGGTGGAATCTCCTTCCTTAGAAGTTTTTAAGGTCAGACTTGACAAAGCCCTGGCTGGGATGATTTAGTTGGGGATTGGTCCTGCCTTGAGCAGGGGGTTGGACTAGATGACCTCCTGAGGTCCCTTCCAATCCTGATATTCTATGAGTGCTCTAGCAACTGGGCATCCTACGGAACCTATAGGTTATCATTTCAAAGGAAGGCCTCTTTCTCCTGGGGGCAAGCCAAGAAGCAATTAGATGCTTAATTCCAAGATTAAGCCTGGAGAGTTTCCAGATGCCTTTGCCCCCTGCATGCTGACTGCAGCCCCAGGCACTATTCCTCCCAAGTATGATGTTTGCTGTGTCTTAACATAATAAACATTCAAAGCCTCTAAATGGAACAAAGAGGCTTCGGAGGTTTGCAGGAGGATTGGGAGGGAAGGCATGGAAATCCACCCAGCATCTAGTTTCACTGCTCTTGGCCCGGCCTCGGCGCAACAGATCCACTTGGGCTGAAAACATCAGGCAAGCCGAGAGACAAGTCTGCTGCTGGGGTGACCAATGGTTGCAGCCCCACAGGCACTATTAGCAACCGGCTGGAAACCTGTCATTAATTTGCAGAGACACGAAGAGAGAAATATGCTCTAATGACTGCTAAGCTGATCCAGGCTCAGTTTCCATTTCCTACCACAGGAGTGTCACAATTCACCTTTAAGTAACAAACCACAAGCACCACAGCCTCGGAGATATGCAATATATATGCATGGAAGTGCATGGCACCATGCAGCTTTGAGTCATTCCCCTGGGCACAAGGGGCCTGCTTCTGCTCCGACTGAAGCAATTGCGAGACAGCAATGAAAGCGGGATTGGGCCCAGAGCAAACTGCCATTCTCCCTGCACAACAGGCACTCAAATATTTGCTACAGCTTGCAGGCTGGTCGAGGAGACAACACTGCAGAGAGGGAGAGAACAGAATGGGGAAAAAGGAGCACGTGGTGGAGGGAATTGGTAGAGAGAAGCAGCTAGGAGTGAAAACAGAAAGCAAGGCCAGGAGAGAGATAGGACACACAAAACAAGGGATGGAAAGATGGATGGATGCCTGGCCTTGGGGTTACACCACTGGACAGGGACTCAGGGGTCCTGGGTTCATGTTTCTGGCTCTGCAACACTGTCATGTGACTTGCCCAAAATGTGACTTGACTAGGGATCTCTAGGCATTACTCTAATGCAAATAATAAAAGGACAGAGGGAGAACAGACAAAAGCCAGTGGAGACAGGCAACAGAGTCAGATACAACACATGGGGGCACGGCAGGCCAGAGAGGACAGTTTGCTGCCCCAGTGCCAGAAAGATCAGACAAGGGTGGAAGGTATCCTGAAGAACGCTAGGGAATTCCCACCAAACATAACCCTCTAGTCTTCTAGGGCACTGAGCTCTTCCAGCTCCCCTTCCACCTGTCCAGCCACTTCCCAGCATTCCCTTCAGGATGCCCACCTGCAGCTGTGTGTGTGTTCCGCTCCTGGCCCCTCCTCTTCTTCCATACTCTCCCCCAAAGTAACCTCCTGGCTCCAACTCTGCCTCCTCTCCCCAGCCTGTGGTCTGCCTTTCCAACACTGGTCAGCTGGCACTAAATGGCGAGCAACTGAACTCCCAGTAGTCACCTTGCCCCAAAACATTTCTTTGCCACTACGACGAGTTCACTGTCCTCCTCCTCCTTGCTCAGGCCCAGATGCTCCATCATCTTCAACTCTTCGTTTTCCTTCTGAACATCCCAGCTGCTCTCAATAGCCACTGCAGTACAGAAACTAAGGGCTGTCTGGAAACATGCCACATTTGCTTTTTTGGGATGGGAGCTACGGCAGGAGGAAGGGGAAAGGAGAAGAGAGGCATAGAAACAATCTTACCTCAAGAGCCTCGCGCAATATGTCTGAGAAGAGCTTGCACGTCAAGAACACCAAGAAACAGGGACAGCAGACCATGGCATCTTCCACCCCTACTATTATCTAGAGAGATCTTTGATGTCAAGCTTTAAGACCCCCATTGTAAGAAATCCAGCAAGCAGCGTCCTTAGTTTAGTAACTTCCCCTGTACCTCTAAAATCTATTCTCTGAAGTTTGGCAACTTAGTTGACCAGGGAACGGAGGGAGTCATTGCTCCGTCTGGAGCCAAACATAGCACAGACAGAAGTCACACTAGCTTCCTCCTACATAGCCCTGCCCACTGCTATTAAATCCTGACCTTAAAAGTATAACCCCTGCTGTTCCTCTCCT